ATTTAAGCCAGGGGCTTAAAAATGGGAATTCCCAATACATAGATGGGCTTAGCATTCAGCACAGCCTTGGAGCAAAGCTACTTTGAGCAGTGCACGTGCATATAAATATAGACGCGTGTACTTATATATAGCGCGCGCATGTTGTGCTTTCCTCGCCTTGTCCTTACAAGTTTATCTAAACTTGAACACACATACTCAATTAAGCCCGTTTTCTCTTTCGTGACTCAGGCCTCATCACGTTCATGGTGACGTGTATACAACCTATATATCCGGTCTCGCTGTACATGTAGATGTATCGATGCTTATGAAGTCCGTATACCATGTCACGCATACTCGCAAGCAGTCAGATAAAACACTCGTTTTCCCTCGCTAAGTAGCTAATAGGTAACAAACGGGATCGAGTGGTGATTTTCAATGACTTGGTTGATGTAAGTCATCATATCCCAACTGGTACATTGACGCTCAAGGTGTCAATCACTGGGTTGTCTGGTCCAAACACGAGTGTATGGTGACCACTGTCTGGAAGATTGCTGAGTGTGGCGTTAAACAATATAACAACCAACTGACCAACCATGATGACAATCACTGGGTTGTCTGGTCCAAACACGATTGTATGGTCACCACTGTCATATGGCTGGAACATTGCCGAGTGTGGGGTTAAACAATATAACAACCAACTGACCAACCATGATGACAATCACTGGGTTGTCTGGTCCAGACACAATTGTATGGAGACAACTGTCATATGGCTGGAACATTGCTGAGTGTGGCGTTAAACAATATAACAACCAACTGACCAACCATGATGACAATCACTGGGTTGTCTGGTCCAGACACAATTGTATGGAGACAACTGTCATATGGCTGGAACATTGCTGAGTGTGGCGTTAAACAATATAACAACCAACTGACCAACCATGATGACAATCACTGGGTTGTCTGGTCCAGACACGATTGTATGGCGACCACTGTCATATGGCTGGAACATTGCTGAGTGTGGCGTTAAACAATATAACAACCAACTGACCAACCATGATGACAATCACTGGGTTGTCTGGTCCAGACACGATTGTATGGAGACCACTGTCATATGGCTGGAACATTGCTGAGTGTGGCGTTAAACAATATAACAACCAACTGACCAACCATGATGACAATCACTGGGTTGTCTGGACCAGACACACGATTGTATGGAGACCACTGTCGTATGGCTGGAACATTGCTGAGTGTGGCGTTAAACAATATAACAACCAACTGACCAACCATGATGACAATCACTGGGTTGTCTGATCCAGACATGATTGTATGGAGACCACTGTCATATGGCTGGAACATTGCTGAGTGTGGCGTTAAACAATATAACAACCAACTGACCAACCATGATGACAATCACTGGGTTGTCTGGTCCAAACACGAGTGTATGGAGACCACTGTCATATGCCTGGAACATTGCTGAGTGTGGCGTTAAACAATATAACAACCAACTGACCAACCATGATGACAATCACTGGGTTGTCTGGTCCAGACACAATTGTATGGAGACCACTGTCATATGGCTGGAACATTGCTGAGTGTGGCGTTAAACAATATAACAACCAACTGACCAACCATGATGACAATCACTGGGTTGTCTGGTCCAGACACGATTGTATGGAGACCACTGTCGTATGGCTGGAACATTGCTGAGTGTGGCGTTAAACAATATAACAACCAACCATGATGACAATCACTGGGTTGTCTGGTCCAGACACGATTGTATGGAGACCACTGTCTTATGGCTGGGACATTGCTGAGTGTGGCGTTAAACAATATAACAACCAACTGACCAACCATGATGACAATCACTGGGTTGTCTGGTCCAGACACAATTGTATGGAGACCACTGTCATATGGCTGGAACATTGCTGAGTGTGGCGTTAAACAATATAACAACCAACTGACCAACCATGATGACAATCACTGGGTTGTCTGGTCCAGACACGATTGTATGGAGACCACTGTCGTATGGCTGGAACATTGCTGAGTGTGGCGTTAAACAATATAACAACCAACTGACCAACCATGATGACAATCACTGGGTTGTCTGGTCCAGACACGATTGTATGGCGACCACTGTCATATGGCTGGGACATTGCTGAGTGTGGCGTTAAACAATATAACAACCAACCGACCAACCATGATGACAATCACTGGGTTGTCTGGTCCAGACACGATTGTATGGCGACCACTGTCATATGGCTGGAACATTGCTGAGTGTGGCGTTAAACAATATAACAACCAACTGACCAACCATGATGACAATCACTGGGTTGTCTGGTCCAGACACGATTGTATGGAGACCACTGTCATATGGCTGGAACATTGCTGAGTGTGGCGTTAAACAATATAACAACCAACTGACCAACCATGATGACAATCACTGGGTTGTCTGGACCAGACACGATTGTATGGAGACCACTGTCGTATGGCTGGAACATTGCTGAGTGTGGCGTTAAACAATATAACAACCAACTGACCAACCATGATGACAATCACTGGGTTGTCTGGTCCAGACATGATTGTATGGAGACCACTGTCATATGGCTGGAACATTGCTGAGTGTGGCGTTAAACAATATAACAACCAACTGACCAACCATGATGACAATCACTGGGTTGTCTGGTCCAGACACAATTGTATGGAGACAACTGTCATATGGCTGGAACATTGCTGAGTGTGGCGTTAAACAATATAACAACCAACTGACCAACCATGATGACAATCACTGGGTTGTCTGGTCCAGACATGATTGTATGGAGACCACTGTCATATGGCTGGAACATTGCTGAGTGTGGCGTTAAACAATATAACAACCAACTGACCAACCATGATGACAATCACTGGGTTGTCTGGTCCAGACACGATTGTATGGAGACCACTGTCATATGCCTGGAACATTGCTGAGTGTGGCGTTAAACAATATAACAACCAACTGACCAACCATGATGACAATCACTGGGTTGTCTGGTCCAGACACGATTGTATGGAGACCACTGTCATATGGCTGGGACATTGCTGAGTGTGGCGTTAAACAATATAACAACCAACCATGATGACAATCACTGGGTTGTCTGGTCCAGACACGATTGTATGGCGACCACTGTCATATGGCTGGAACATTGCTGAGTGTGGCGTTAAACAATATAACAACCAACTGACCAACCATGATGACAATCACTGGGTTGTCTGGACCAGACACGATTGTATGGAGACCACTGTCGTATGGCTGGAACATTGCTGAGTGTGGCGTTAAACAATATAACAACCAACTGACCAACCATGATGACAATCACTGGGTTGTCTGGTCCAGACATGATTGTATGGAGACCACTGTCATATGGCTGGAACATTGCTGAGTGTGGCGTTAAACAATATAACAACCAACTGACCAACCATGATGACAATCACTGGGTTGTCTGGTCCAGACACGATTGTATGGAGACCACTGTCATATGCCTGGAACATTGCTGAGTGTGGCGTTAAACAATATAACAACCAACTGACCAACCATGATGACAATCACTGGGTTGTCTGGTCCAGACACGATTGTATGGAGACCACTGTCATATGGCTGGGACATTGCTGAGTGTGGCGTTAAACAATATAACAACCAACTGACCAACCATGATGACGATCACTGGGTTGTCTGGTCCAGACACGATTGTATGGCGACCACTGTCATATGGCTGGGACATTGCTGAGTGTGGCGTTAAACAATATAACAACCAACCGACCAAAGAAAGAAGCAAACAAACCAACGACCTGATGCGTACAATTCATACCTTCAAAGGACATTACATAAATAGCCTACAACTGTTGAAAGCCCAAACTGCTTTCGTCAGAGTATTTCATTAAACGACAGCAACGAACATCTTACATTCTGCAGCATTGTCATCATTCCATTGACTTACTCCACTAACATATTGTATGTTTACCGAATAAAAATCGAACTCCTTTAGAGGATTCCCAGGTCTATGGAACATACATTTAGCTGTGTGTGCTTGTGCGTGTCAGTGTATATTCGCCCCACTCCTTCTTATAATATAGTCACACGTAAACACCTACGTCCTGCACCATAAATAAACACACACCTTTCAGTTCTGTATATTTCCTATTAAGGAACGAAAAGCGAAAGGAGATTGAAAATAAATTGTTACAATTTATAGTGACTTAATTTATAGTGCAGGCTCTGCGTGGTAATAACTAGATCTATTAGTTAAGACCCCAAATACTTTCTTTTAAAAAGACACACAAACGAAATAAGAAGTTAAACAGTAATTCAGTAAGTGAAATTAATGAGGACAGTGTACATAATTGGGGATATTTGAGTATTGTGATGATAATACATATGAGCCTGTTCATAATTTATGGCTAGGGGGGGGTGATGATGATTTTGAGGGTGTGTGGGGGAACCCATTTTGTTCTGGGGAGGTGGGGGGTTCATCAATTTTGTACACAGGTACTGGGGTGGTGGTGGTGGTGGTCATCAATTTTATACATAAAAATATTTTTAGCATATGCTTAGAAATTATGGGAAGGGGGGGGGGTGATTTTGTACATGACATGCAGGGGGGTTCACTTACTTTGTACATAAAATTTAGGGGGGCATTCACATTGTACACGCTTTTTCCATAAAAATCATCATCACCCCCCTAGCCATAAATTATGAACGGTCCCTAATTTGCCCGTAATTTGTTCGAGCATATATTCTCCTTGCCATATTTCATTATCAAAGATGTCGTTTGAATTCAAATTTTGAAAAATACACTGGTCAGTTTGAATCATAGCAGTTACATAGTGCATTTTCTCAGCCGCTGCTCCCGCGATCTCGAACACTCGTCAGGCCAGCCACGAATTTTCTCGGGGATTCCAAAACTTATCGGCAATCTGATTGGCTGAGAGCGTCCCGGATATGACGCGTTTTTTCCAGAACGTTCCAGAAACAACGGGAAAACCCTCCAGCTTGTATTTATACCAGCGAACCGCCATCGTCACAAGTTCGGATCGAAGCGAGTTAGTTGGCTGAGGTGTGTCAGTTACCAACAGATTTCTGTGTAACTTCTGTTTGATAGGACACCAGTGTGAACTCTCAAGATGGGGAAAGACTATTACAAAATACTTAACGTCGCTAAAGGAGCGAGCGATGAAGACATCAAAAAGGGTTATCGTAAAATGGCCCTGAAATATCACCCGGACAAGAATAAGTCGCCCGGAGCTGAAGAAAAGTTCAAGGAGATCGCCGAGGCATACGAAGTGCTTAGTGACCCCAAGAAGAAAGAAATATACGACAAATATGGCGAAGAAGGGCTGAAGGGTGGTATGCACAGCGGTGGGACAAGCGCAGGCCAGGGAGGCACCTACCACTATTCCTTCCATGGCAACCCACACGAAACATTCCGGATGTTTTTCGGAGATGAAAATCCATTTGGGAGTTTCTTCAGTTCGGGTTTTGGAGGAAGCAGTATGAGACCGCCAGGCTTTGGTCATCATTTCGGTCCTGGGGGACCAGACGACATGGACGTTGACGAGGACCCGTTTGGTCGCCAGTTTTCATCTTTTGGGGGGCCCGGTGGACATTTTCAACAGTTCAGTTCAACGGGCATGCCAAAACAACGGCGACAGGACGCTGCCATTGTCAAAGATCTACAGGTGTCACTTGAAGATATATACAAGGGAGCAACAAAGCGTATGAAAATCACACGGAAAGTTCTCAACCCAGACGGACAGACCACAAGAATGGAGGAAAAAATTCTCACTGTGGATATTAAACCTGGTTGGAAAGCAGGAACAAAAATTACCTTCCCAAAAGAGGGGGATCAGAAACCTCATAATATACCTGCCGACATTGTATTTGTGCTGAAAGACAAACACCATCCTCAGTTTCTTAGGGAAGGAAGTGACATTAGATACAAAGCCAAAGTTCTGCTGCGGGATGCACTTTGTGGTACTACAATTCACGTGCCAACTGTTGATGGCAGGAAAATACCTCTGAACATTTCTGATGTGATAAAACCAGGTAGTATTAAAAGAATTCAGGGAGAAGGACTACCTTACCCCAAACAAGCAGGGAAAAGGGGAGACCTCATTATAGAGTTCTCTGTGGCCTTCCCAGATAAACTATCACAAGCTGTTAAGGACAATTTGAAGCAGATGCTACCACGTACCTAAGTGTGGAGTCAGTGCATTCAGAGAGTGGACAGGTGTTTGTTGCTGAATGCCCCCATTCTTACTGAGAGAAGAGCGTACATTGGCGCTTTTGTGGGTTGTATCATGTAGTCTGCTATTTTTATCTCACAAGTCTGACAAGTGACTCATCTGCACCAGATAAGCATCATGGTCTCCTCAGTGGAGGAAATTGCTGCCTAACAGGTCTAACAGTGCTTCATCTCCTCATCAAATGAGACTGAGTTAATCACTGTAACATTTTGTTGATGTGGAAAAATCTTGACCGATTGTGTTTGTTACTTGCATGAGAAGTTGCAGGAAAGTTAGGTGGGAAATGGTTTTTGTTTCATTATAAATCTCTTCTGTTAAAGTTATTTTATTTTAGATAATCTAAGAATTCTTTCAGTTTATCTGTTTTAAATGTCACGGTTTTAACATGCTTACAGGGAAATTGGCAGCATTAACATGATTAACATTTGCTCTTTCGTGGAGCATAGTATTCTTTGGTCATATAAATAATGATGATTTTGATATCTCGATCATGTTGAGTGTTAAATAAGATTGTCAGAGAAAATTGTTTGACTATAGTTTTCACACAGTAATACAAGTTTAGTAATACAGTTTTGTGATTATTCTAGGCCTTAATTAGTAAACCTTATATGGGTCCACTGAGTGTTGCAAACAATGCATTAACTGTTATTATGGTTACATGAGTTTATCAGAAGATTTTTGTAGGTGCTTGAACATGTTAACCTGTAAATAATATGAAGTCTGCATAATGTGTATGTGACTTTACTGTATTTTGTTGTATTTATTACCACGGTTGGGAAAAACTTCATCATGTTCATTGAACATATCAACCTGTAATTTAGTGTAAATATCCATGTACATTTATTGTATGCAGTATGTACCATATATCTGTACAGGTATGTTAGCTTGTGTACAAATTGTTCATAATTGGATTTCTCTTGGCATATTGTTGAAGAGAAAAAATAAACATCATGAAATTGTTCTTTTTGGTTTGTCATAGTTTGTTTATATTTACTTGTATTTCGTCTTATGTTCCCAATATGTTTATATTTACTTGTATTTCGTCTTATGTTCCCAATATGGATTACTGCAAGATTTCTTTTGTTTCAACACTTTTCAATGTTGCTTATGCTGGCAGACTGTAAATGTGTAATAGTCATGTCTGTGGTGGTGAGCGGTCCTGTGCTTAGAGCTCAGGTCGCAGATCAGTTCAAGTTAAGCAATGTTGGGCACGGAGAATCCTTGGATGTGTTTGGTAGCTTGACTCCTGAGAGTTTCTAGGACTTCAGTCCTGTCCCACAATAAAGCAATTGTGATACATGTGGTCTCACCTAAGGCAAGCGAGTTCAAAATTTCCTGTTCACCCAGCAGAAAATGGGTACCCGGTGGGGTAAATCATTTGACTATTAACCTTCTGGTGTCTCACAGGCAGCTTGGGTTATCCGGGGTAATAATTTGCTGCGCTTTGATTGTTAGCACTATGAGCATTTAGTGAATGGAGTTGAACGCATTATAAATGCACTTATTACCAAACAAAACAGTAAATAGACATGATATAAGTTATCAACCATGTCGGTGAGCCTTGTACAGCACAAGGTTGTTTGGTGAACACCATGTATAGTCTGCACTGAAAACGTACCGATGAATGTCAATTTAAACAAAAAAGAAAATCAAATAATGTGAAATTAAGATTGCGAATCATCATAATTTTACCTTGCCAGTTACACATTTAAATCAGAATTTTATTCAACTTAGGATGAAAGTTGCTTAACAAACAATCATAGATTCGAATCGCTATTCTTGGGTTGTATTACAAGGGGATAAGCGCAGTAGTTGGAACAGTGAAACAAATGCATGTGCGGTACCTAATGAACTTAGACCAACCCTACTTGTTTTCAGTGTTTCATTTAATGTGCATACCCCCTGTAATACAAACCAATAATAGCGATTTGAAACTATGATCGTTTCTTAAACAACTGTTATCTTAAGTTGAATAAAATTCTGAGATTTAAATGTTCAATTGGCAAGGTAAAATTATGAGTAATCGCAATCTTAATCTCACTTTATTCGATTTACTTTTTTGTTTAAAGTGAAAATTCATCGGTGCGTTTTCACTGCAAACAGACAATAACAGTGGTTATAAATGGCTCAGACTGAATCCGTATGATCAAGACCAACATTGGATGTATTAATTGCTAACTGGTTAGGAACGGTTTTCAGTTAGTATGTCTTTAGAGATTTTCTTGCAACCCGTCGTACAGCCTTACACTCACCATTTAAGGGTGGATTGTACCGCGGCGGTGCGATCGATACACGTTTCTTCATACAGCTTGCAGAATCTAAAATCATACTTACAAAATCATCAATAGCATCTTCTATACTACTATCAAGTTTATTAAACACCGACTGAAAACCAGCTGCGTTTCTCTCTTGAAGATTTCCTAAAAATGTCTTACATAAAGACTCATTCCACACAATTTTTTCATTAGAGGAGATATACCTTTAATCATGTTCATTTTAGGAAATCGGCATTTGAGCTTTATAGGCAGATGATCAGAATCTAATCGATCACCTATATTCAACATACTAGTACTTATATATTCAAGAGATCAGGAGAACAGATGAAATAATCATTAACACTACAGCCATGCTGTCCGACAAAAGTATATTCACCTTGTTCATCTCCAAACACTCTACCATTGACAATAAATAAATGAAATGCATAACACATGTCTATCAAAATTTGTCCGAATCTATTTATGACCTTATCATGTGATTTACGATCCCCAACAGGGATATCCTCCTCGTCATCAAATATGTTGGTGACGTTTCTATCATCGACACATGTCACTTGGGGGTTGTTATTCTCTCCTGTTCGCGCGTTCATGTCGCCACAAAGTACAATATGGGAATCTCTAAACTCAGACACATTAGAAAGTAAAAACTGATCAACATTATCAAGACTACATTTTGTGCGAGTCTTATAGTAGGATGAACCCACTGGTGGGATATATGTACATATCAAGTTAATATCTTTATCAGTTGCAAATATCGACTTACTGAATTTTATACATATAAAATTGTCAAAATCAGATTTCAACAACTTACACGATTTGCTGACAGATCGATGAACACCTACGCAGAGACACCACCAGAGAGTCGACCATACCGGACAGTTTGATTGCTGGGCTATAAAAGATATCATAGTCATGCCACCAATCAACATCGGAAATATTGTCAACAAATGTTTCTGCAAGACATACAATTTTGAAATGGCGTAAATAATTCAAAAAGTCATTTTTATTGATTTTGGAATTTAAACCATTCACATTCCAAAAAAGCAACTTGATAGTTCCATCACAACACCGATATTCAGAATCGTCAGAGGGTTCACAATGTTTATCTACACCGGTGTCACGGCCACAGGGACCGTGTGAAATATGATCCGGGCTTCGGCCGACTTCCTATTTCGACACGATCGGAGACGTTGGTTCGGTATCTGTACTTGATGTTACAATGCGCCGTCTCTTTTGACTTGTTTTCTGTGATGTCGACGTTGTGGATTCTGTTGCTAAACGAGGTTTCGTTATCAGCTTGCCATTTTTAAAGAAGCCAAACTGGTTGGTACCCTTTAGCGTTTGAAGTTTTTGTCGTTGACGTGTCGTTAAAAACTGATCAACATTATCAAGACTACATTTAGTGCGAGTCTTATAGTAGGATGAACCCACTGGTGGGATATATGTACATATCAAGTTAATATCTTTATCAGTTGCAAATATAGACTTACTGAATTTTATACATATAAAATTGTCAAAATCAGATTTCAACAACTTACACGATTTGCTGACAGATCGATGAACACCTACGCAGACACCACCAGAGAGTCGACCATACTCGGACAGTTTGATTGCTGGGCTATAAAAGATATCATAGTCATGCAACCAATCAACATCGGAAATATTGTCAACAAATGTTTCTGCAAGACATACAATTTTGAAATGGCGTAAATAATTCAAAAAGTCATTTTTATTGATTTTGGAATTTAAACCATTCACATTCCAAAAAAGCAACTTGATAGTTCCATCACAACACCGATATTCAGAATTGTCAGAGGGTTCACAATGTTTATCTACACCGGTGTCACGGCCACAGGGACCGTGTGAAATATGATCCGGGCTTCGGCCGACTTCCTATTTCGACACGATTGGAGACGTTGGTTCGGTATCTGTACTTGATGTTACAATGCGCCGTCTCTTTTGACTTGTTTTCTGTGATGTCGACGTTGTGGATTCTGTAGCTAAACGAGGTTTCGTTATCAGCTTGCCATTTTTAAAGAAGCCAAACTGGTTGGTACCCTTTAGCGTTTGAAGTTTTTGTCGTTGACGTGTCGTTAAAAACTGATCAACATTATCAAGACTACATTTAGTGCGAGTCTTATAGTAGGATGAACCCACTGGTGGGATATATGTACATATCAAGTTAATATCTTTATCAGTTGCAAATATAGACTTACTGAATTTTATACATATAAAATTGTCAAAATCAGATTTCAACAACTTACACGATTTGCTGACAGATCGATGAACACCTACGCAGACACCACCAGAGAGTCGACCATACTCGGACAGTTTGATTGCTGGGCTATAAAAGATATCATAGTCATGCAACCAATCAACATCGGAAATATTGTCAACAAATGTTTCTGCAAGACATACAATTTTGAAATGGCGTAAATAATTCAAAAAGTCATTTTCATTGATTTTGGAATTTAAACCATTCACATTTCAAAAAAGCAACTTAATAGTTCAATCACAACACCGATATTCAGAATCGTCAGAGGGTTCACAATGTTTATCTACACCGGTGTCACGGCCACAGGGACCGTGTGAAATATGATCCGGGCTTCGGCCGACTTCCTATTTCGACACGATTGGAGACGTTGGTTCGGTATCTGTACTTGATGTTACAATGCGCCGTCTCTTTTAACTTGTTTTCTGTGATGTCAACATTGTGGATTCTGTAGCTAAACGAGGTTTCGTTATCAGCTTGCCATTTTTAAAGAAGCCAAACTGGTTGGTACCCTTTAGTGTTTGAAGTTTTTGTCGTTGACGTGTCGTTAAATCACTGGATATTCCAAAACCCCTTTCCTTAAGTGCTGGTCTAGCCTTAAGGGCTCTGACTCTGTCATCTGATACCATCAGTTTGACTATGACAGGGCGAGGATTGTCGGCGTTTTGACGTTTCATTCCAAGACGATGTGCACGGTGAATGTCACCTGGCTGCCAAGTTTTAAATTTCAAATTGTCATTAAATATCGTAATCACTTTCTCCTTGCACGCCATGGATTTCTTATCATCGGATTCCGGCACGCCGTATAGGATAATATTATCACGTCTGCTGAACGACTCTTACTTGTCCAGTTCATCATCAATACGTAAAAAACGAGAAAACACATGGTCAACTTTCTCTGCAAGGGCATCAATATCACTGTGCATCAAGTCATGGTTATGTTTCACATCGGTAACCTCAGATCTCATTTCTGTCACCCTTCTGTCCAAATCATTACATTTTGAACTGATTGTTTTAACTTCGCTTCTAAGGTCCTATATTTGCGAACTAAGTCCACATTTAACGTCACGTAGTTCATTCATGATCGTGTCTCTTACCTCTTCAAGAGTGATCGGTCGGGGGTTGGTTTCTACATCATTGGAACACATGAGTACCTGTGTGATCAAGCCAGCGGGTGGCGCGTCACCCCAGGAAAAACATGTCTCCCATGCATGTGAAGCATGCATCGACATGGTTGACCATACAAGGTCATGTTCAAAAGGAGTGACGTCACAAAACACACAAAAGAATGTCCTTTCATTTGGCAAATAATCGTCAAAATCAAAGTTTTCGCAAAGTTTGATTGTGTAAAACGATGCACAGAGGTGTATCCCCAAAATAAGGGAGCAAATGAGCAGTCTGAGGTGTATATCA